CCCCGGCCCCGGTATTGGCCCAACCCCCAGCCAATGGCGCGGCTGTCGCTGGGCGGGCCCAGCAGCCAGGCCCTTCCTCAGGCCTCGCCTTCCCTTGGGCGGTGAGGAGGAGAGACGCCCTGTGCTGGCGTGGCCCCGGGCGTCCTCCTGCGGCCAGAGGGAAGGACGGAGCCCCCGTCACGCTCCCCACGGGGCTGCCCACTGTCCTTCGCAGGGCGTGCGGGGGCGCAGGTAGGAGCCCCTCCAGCCCCACGGAACGGGGGGACTCCCCACACCCCCAGAACCTGAAAATGGTGGAAGGGAGGGAACCCCCTCACCTTGAACCCCTAAAATGGCAAAATGCAGGGACCCCCCTCACCTTAAACCCACGCAGTGGAGGAAAGGAGGGACCCCCCGTCACTTTATATCCATAAATGGCGGAAAGGAGGAACGTCCTCACCTCATATCCATAAAATATCTGGAAAATAGGAACCCCCTCACCTCATATCCATAAAATATCTGGAAAATAGGAACCCCCTCACCTCATATCCATAAAATATCTGGAAAATAGGAACCCCCTCACCTCATATCCATAAAATATCTGGAAAATAGGAACCCCCTCACGTCATATTCATAAAATATCTGGAAAATAGGAACCCCCTCACCTCATATCCATAAAATATCTGGAAAATAGGAACCCCCTCACCTCATATCCATAAAATATCGAAAGGAGGAACCCCCTGACCTCATATCCATAAAATTTCAGGAAGGGAGATGTGGAGGAGTGGCAGAGTGAGAATGGGCACAACTTAGTCCCATTCGACAGCCCATGCTCTGCAGCGGAAGTGGGCGGAACTATGATGGAAGAGATGGAGAAGCCCCTCCACATGGATAGATGATCTGTCCTGTGAAATATGTCCATCTAATTCGTGTTAATATGGAACAATGCTAGGGCCGCATGATGACGTACCCTTGTACAGCCACAAGCCTAAGAAAAGCAGAACCTCCTCACAGGGGGAGGGGGGCTGGCGATGTCCCCTGCCGGGCGCTTCAGCATAACAGGTTAAACCAGTTCTGTTACCAACCAACACAAGAGAAGTTTAAGACACACCTATTGCTGGAGGATATATAAACGAGAAACAAGAACTGTATGGTGTGCGTCTTGGTAGAGCAGAGGCTCCCGGTGCACCCAGTGCTGTTTGCTTGCCTTTATTCATTTAATAAATTGTTAATTTTGATTGAAATACTATTTGGGACTCGGTCATTTATCACAGTCCCAATCACGGTAGCGATGGAGGCGTGTGTATAGCGGCGTTCTACAAACCACAGTGTGACTTGTGTGTATGTTATTGTTTTCTGCCTATATATGCTTTTGCTAGCTGTGCAATAAACGAGAACGACCATACTCATATTGAGATTCCATCGTTACTCCAGGTCCGACTTCCCTTCCAACAGGGAGATGCCACATCCATAAACAGGCTTCCCCCTCCCATCACGCCGACATTTTTTCCCCTCATAACCTGCCATTTTGGGGCGGGGTCCTGGCCGCCATGTTGGGTGTGGCACCTTCATCCTCCGATGCCAT